TTTCAGGTACTTCCGGTAGCGGAGGGAAGAGCTCGGGGTGATCGAATGGCACACACCATAGATTAGTCAACCTGGGATGTTTAACTTTAATAATGATCATGTGTTTTGGAAATTAATACATTGATTCTGTTATTGTTTGATAATTATGTTTTAAGTAATGTTTTATAAAAGAAATTTTTAGTCTTGAATTTTGGGATGTTACAAGTTGGTATCAGAGCCTTGGTTTGAGGGATTCAGACGTACTCTCCAGTGTGTCTGAACTCAAACTAAGGAATTCGTATAGAAGTTTTCAAAATGAAAAGATATTTTTGTAAAAAAAAAAAAAAGAGTTCGAGGAAGAAAACAGTTTTAGAAAAACTAAAAGAATTCTGAAAGAAAAGAATTTTGAAAAGAGAATAGGGGTGTGGTGCATGCAATCAGCCTAGCTCAAGTAAGTACCCCAAAATGCCCATACAAGTTATGTTATGTTTATCAGTTAATAGAACAACATGCTAGATTAGGACTAATGATCTAGGGAGGATGCCTTATGTGCCTGTTATATGTGCTTTTGAGCTGCATGATAGTGCTAATTAGATAGTAGTAGGATAGCCTATTTAGGTTATGCCTGAGTTTATGAGTTTGTGTTGCATGCTAGTACATATTCATGATATGAGATTATGATTGCTTGAGTATGTTATGGTTAGCTTTTTCCCTTGTTTGAATGTTGCTTGCTTTGTGCATTGTGGGATTCCGAGTAATTGGAGTTAGCCATTAGGTGGATACGTCACGTCACATGGGATCAGGGTTGAATAATCTCCAATTTGTTGGGCTTGGACCTATTGCGCAACTCTTGTCTGAGTCCAACCGTTTTAGGGATGAGTCTTTTACTCGAAGGATTATCTGAGCCTCATCACATGTGATGGAATCCAGGTAATGGCTAATTGGCATCCCAAGGAGTCCTTCAACGGTTGAGGACTGGTTTGGTTTGAGTTAGAGGTTTCCCTAAGGCAAGCCTAGGATGGGGTAGTGCTGGAAGCAGTACTAGTGGAAAATGGGACCTGGTGGAGACGAAGCAGTTCTTGAGGAAAGTAAGGATAGATGTGGAAGGTAGTATGGGCCCATACTACTGAGAGTAGAGGATCTGTACTCGATTCAGGAAAGACCATGAACCTGGTAGTGCGTGTTTGGTCTCGCAGCGGTGAAAAGTATTCTGATAGTGATTGTGTTATATTTTCATCATGGTGACGTTGCGAGAGGGATCAGTGGGTGGATCAGGCACCAGAGAGGGATTAGGCCCAGGTTTAGGAGTTGAACTGCTTGAGGAGCGAATGAGGGAGTTGATATCAGTTGAGGTTACGCGCAGCATACTAGACCAGACTCCTGTGATCTTTGGCACGGTCAAGGAGGGTATACTGGAGATTTTGGATGAGAGGTCGGGAGCCTTCCGTACCGAGATGATGACTTTGATGGGAGCACGTACTTTGACATTCCGAGAGTTCAGAGCTTGCGGGGCACCAGATTATCATATGGCTAGGGATCCATTGCTAGCAGCAGGTGGTTGGCTGATGTTGCCAACGTGTTCCGTACGAGCCGATGTCCCGAGGGGGACAAGGTCAGACTCGCCTCCTGTCTACTGAAGGATAGAGCGATGGATTGGTGGGAGGAGATTCGTCATGCTTTTGGTGATGATGCCGCGTTGGACACGATGACATGGAGTGATTTTTTAGTCAGGTTCAAGGCTGAGTTTTCACCGATTATTGAGGTGCAACAGTCGGCACGGGAGTTTCAGGATTTGACACAGACTATTGAGACTGTGGCGGAGAACACCGCCAAGTTCAGGCAGAGGGCCCTTCTTATTCCGCAATATGTTGCGGATGAGGAGATGTAGAGGGCCCAATATCATGAGATATTGCGGGATGACATCAGGCAGTTTATAAGTAGGTCTAGCTAGAAAACATTGGAGGATATGATCGCGCGAGCCAAAGAAAGGGAGATTGATTTGGAACAGATCTGGAAGACGAAGCCGGATGAGATTCAGACAGCCACAGGTTCGGGGAAAAGGGCCAAGGGATTGGATTCGAGATCGAAGGATTATCAGGATCGTAGCCGGTGCAGGAAGTGTGGCAAGACGCACGGGGGTACGTGCAGGAGTGGTAGCGGTGGTGACTTTGGCTGTTTCAAGTGTGGTCGGACTAATCATTTTAGCCGGGATTGTAATGTTACCACCACACAGGGATTAGACTTGATATGCTTTCACTGCAACTAGCGGAGCCACAAAATGGCCGAGTGCCCCAGTTTGTTTTTGGCAGGATGGGTGATGGCACCTGCCGCTGCAACTTTGATGATCACAGACCATCGTCAGGGCCGTGTAGAGGTGCCTGCAGTAGAAGGCAGGGCTTTTCAGATGACTACCTTGGAGATGCGAGTAGCATTGGACGTTGCAGGTATGCGACTTCCATTTTCAGTTCTTTTATTTGTGCATGATTATATTGTTATGGTTCTGCATCATTATCGGTGTGAGTATTTTATTTTGTGCGGCTTGCTTGTGATCGAGTTATATGCCATCTGAATACCTTGGATATCTAGATAGTAGTTAGGGGATGTGCCCTATTGGATAAGGTTACTTAGGATGCAGTAACTGTAGCATGCCTAGGAAGGACTTGTTATGTCCCAGTAGTTTGGAGTCGTATAGTTTTAGAAATGGACTGGTTAGATCCCTAGCTACGGTAACCTTGGGTTCCTCAGCAGAGTGATTATGGAGTGGTAGCAAGGATTGGGATTCCTTCTCGAGCATTGGGCAGCGAGGTGTAAGCAGGATCGAAATGGGGGAGAATCCTCTGAGTGTAAAATGGTAAGAGCATGCAGATCCAAAATGAGTACACGGTCTCTGAGAAGGAAAGAAAGTGGCTCAACGTTCGATGGGTTGAGGAGTTCAGGGTTGGGAGTTTGAGAAACTCCCCATCAATTAGTACGTGTAATGGTGATGGTTAGTACGTGGTTGGCAATTTAGGTTGGAGTATAGCCTGTAGGACTTGAGTGAGTCGGAATGAGGATCTTGAGAACTATTATCATGGGGTACTTTCGTATTAGCAGTCAGAGATGGAAAGTGTTGTAAGACTACGGGGCAGCCGTAGCATTCACTAGCAGTCAGCGGTGGAAAGTGTTTTAAGACTACAGGGTAGCCATAGCATTCACTACCAGTTAGTGGTGGAAGGTGTTGTAAGACTGCGGGTAAGCCGTAATATTCCTTGGTAGCTTCGTGAGCGGAGTTGGGGCGAGGCCCTTATCTCCTAGTGATCAAGGATGGGATCAGGATTGGGTAGTGAATGAGAATAGTAGGGAGCGTGCCTGTATAGCCCTGGAGAGGTGAGACCTTGGGAGAGGCGGCTCCAGGGTGTAGTTGGGTGAGACCCTTGGGCGAGGCCCATATGAGAGTACCAATATAGGTGAGACCTGAGAGCAGGATTGCTCAGTTGCATGGTTGGGTGAGACCCATGGGCGAGGCCCGTGAGTTTTAGTAGCATAGGTGAGAGCTGGTAAGGACCTTAGTGTCAAGATAGGGGGATCGAGGATCCCATGGTTGTAGTTTGAGAATGGCAGAATAGATTGAGTACTCATAGATAGTCAAAGTCTCCTCGAGAGTCGTTGGGAGCGACTAAGAGTTGTGTTGGGGCTAGCGACCGGTAAAGGCATGTAATCCAGATACTGATAGATTGGTAGGGACCAAGGTGGTCTCAGTTCATTTCGGAAGGCTAATAAGGAATAACAAAAATTTCCAGTCAGTAGTAGTGCTGGTAAGCAGTCTATGGTGGAATCCAGTTAGCTGATCGAGGGGTGATCAACACTAAGTTATAGCAGTAGAAAGTGTCCATTGAATACTGGCGGTAATGACTCGTACTCGAGACAGCGGGAGTAATGGATTTGGTGAAGGATAGGACCTTCACGGTGACAGAGGAAGTAGTTAGTCATGGAACGTTGCCTCGGGGAGTTCTAGAAGGGTTGGCAGTTGGGTAAGTTGTGTTCCCAGAATGTTCAGGGTCAGGATTGACCCGAGATTATTATCCACAAGGATTATGTCATCCAAATGACCGGGCGGAAGGCCAGCAAAGGTAGTCCGCAAGGGTTAGGGTGTTAGTTTTCCCAGACAGAGAGTTGGAGGCAGTTCGCAAGACAGTTGGCCATAGCAAACTTCGAGGACGAAGTTTAGTTTAAGTGGGGGAGAGTTGTAACAATGTTAGATGCCATTTTATGCATCTTATTAGGTATTTTTCATTATCATTTTAGCATAATATTTTGTACATTTTCATGTCATTTAGATAAATAATGTTCAACTCATGTATTTCATCAGAATTCCCGTACTACTCATGTTTTATGTTGATTTCAGATAGTTCGAATGGAGCAGTGCTTTGGGTGCAGTTCGATGCTTGTTTGGAGCTTAAAATGGAGCTTGGAACTTCTCGAGTATGTTGAGAAATGTTTGGTAGATGCTTTGGTCAAGAAACATTCGATTGAATTGATCACACGAAGATAGAATATATGTCACACCCCAAAACCGAGAACGGCGGAAACATTCTGGGGCGGAGGACGTCATGTAAAGTATCACAACACAGTAAATGTAAATAAGCAAACAGCATCATCCATTGCATTAAATATATAATTTTAATACAAGCGTGTTCTGAACAGTTTTAGACACCAAAAATATAATGTGAATCAAAATAATATGAGGAGTCTTGAATGTGCTCCATCTTCTCACACTACTAGAAAAATAGCCTTTTATGACGCGCAATCTACGACACTCAGTGATTTATGTTACGCAAAAGGGAGTGACCTTAAAATGGTATCGTCTCTTAAAAACATTTAAGCATTTAGGTCACGCATTATTGGGTTCCCTTAGATTATGTCTTAATGAAAAATATCAAAAACACAAAGGGCACATGTGTGTCATCTAAGGATGTCGCTTTATAAATTTTAGTGGAAGTGCGCGGTCCATCCTTTTTAACAGCAGGGGGAAATGAAATCCTAAAAAATTAAAAACCTTGCATTTCATCCATCTTTTAGGGATTCCATGTAAACCCTAGACCTCATTTGAAGGTTTCGTTCTTAGTCAAGTTGTATCTGTTCGGGAAGGAATAACGAATTCATCCACTCCACCAGCTGACAAGCTTCACTCTTTGCTTCTCCTTTTCTCTATAAACCCTAGACCTCATTATGCGGCTGCAACTCTTCCTCCCTTACCTATTTTTGGAGCTTGGCAGGCATATAGTGGTCAACGATGTCAACTATCCTCTTTTATCCACCATTTTCTCCCTCTGAGACGTTAAAGACACGTCATCCTAAAATTGGAAGAACTAGGGCTTTTGTTCTCTAGATCTCACAAGAAACAAGTTTGCCTCGTCCCCACCCTCACCCATCCAAATTCCTTCTTCTTCAAATGATTATATGTTCTTACCTCTCAACCATACCTGAATCAATATATCTGTCTCTCTTGTGTCTATTCTCCCAATATCTCTCGCGCTTTCCTATTTACAGCCAAAGTTTGAGAGTGAAAAGAAAAAAGAAGAAAGAAAACATGTGCCTATTATTCCTCTTTCTCCCTCTTTTCTTCCTCTGGTTCGATCAAAGCCCTTCTTCTCCCTTCTTCTTCTTCTTCTTCTTCTTATTTTTTTCGATTTCTAGGTGAGGTTGCGTTCGAAGGTTGTCAAGGGGTTATGAGGAGAAGGGAGAAGAAGGGTTGTGATCTCTTCTTATGAAAGCGAAAATGAATCTACCACGAGGCGGCACAAAAGCAACTAGACTCATCCACATCGGCGGAGAAGGGAAAAGAGGAGTTCTAAAAGAGAGAAAAAGAAGAGGAAAGAGAGGCGAAAGATAAAGAAAAAAGATTAAGTGATAAAGATAGAAGGAAAATGAGCAGGTGCTGGAGATCAAATTGAGAGGTAAAAGGAGGGGTTCAGATTCAGAAGACTTCATCGTTTTAATTTCATCTTCATTGAGTACAAGTCGGCATCGATTGGGTCATACAAACTGACGTGGCAACTCATTCCTTAATCTCAATGCGTCATCACACCCCTAAATCTCGATTTTACAGACACCTGTCTTTGAGTTTTTTGTCATTCCTTTTCTCCTCCTTTTTGAATCCCTTTCTATTGCGTTACAGCAGAAACACATTTTCAATTCTGAAAAAACCCCTAAATATGACCTAGTCAGCATGTTTAAAACGATGATTCTGATGATACCATCTACTGAGGAAGAAAAAAGGAAAAATGATGAGGCATTGTAACATCATCATTGACCACCATCCACATATTCTCCCTAAGTCGAAACCCTAAATATTGTGGTGGTAGGTTTGACAGTGGAAAAGATGGATACATCAAAGTTCTTGTTAATGGGTTTAATGAGAAATCCAGTATGCCCATGAGAGGTTCCCCATACCACTGTTTCCTTCGGTTTTCTATCTTTCTTATATATATAATTTTCTTTTTGAAATTGTAGGTTTTGTTTGTTGTATGTTGAAATCGCCCCCACTTTTGATGTTTTCTCTTTTCTAAATATGGCCGAAGGGGATGGGGCTCAAATTCTATTGAAAGCTCGATTTCCATGGGATTTATGGAGTATAAACTCTCATACAAGTTCTCGTATACTGCACACCAAAAGAAACGGATATACATATGCTTTTTGTTTCTCTACCCCATTCTATAAAGTTTTCTATATTTTATTTAAATTTACTATTCACCAAGAATTCCAAATGTGATTTTTTAGGGAAGGGGTTTGAACGTGTGATGATATTAGGGATTACAAAGAACATGATATAAGGGATTTGGTAGCTGCTCAATGTCTTGGATATCTATGATTTTATACCTCACTCACAGGTATCCATCTTAAAACTCATTAAATTTATAACTTTGTTTGGACAATGTTCTTTTCTATGATACAGTTGGACTCATATTGCAGGTTCATCATAATAATTGCCTTTATTAAATATTATATCTCATCCAAAGTTTGAAGTTTTCTTGACAAGAACTAAGTTAGATATATAGGTTCAGTTGAGTCTAGAGAGTTTGTTCCACGAGAGTCCATTTATTTCTCAATTTTTTGGGCACCACTACATTTGGTGATTAAAGTAATACAATATGTTTTACTTTTCCTGTATTTTCTATGAGATCGAAATAGCTAATGTGCATATATAAGGAAGTCGTTGTAATGTTTTTATGCTCATTATTGCTTTAAATTAAGAAACACACTTATCATGATATCTTATGTTGTTGACCAGTGTGGAGTTATTAATTCTAAGGACAAGTATGGGACTCCAGTTAATGAAGGTCCACCATTCATTTTTGGTCAGCGAGTGTTGCATCTTTAGAAATGGTGAATATGTGAAAGGAGGCTTAGGTCAGTTAGAGCAATGGTGAACTTTAGATCACAACAGAGGTAAATGTTGAAGTTTTTTTTTTCTTATTATAATGTCTTATGATAAGTTTTTTCTTAATTACAGGTTTCATGAGTGTAGTACACTGATAAAATGTTAGGGTTATTTTTATTGTTAATGTAGCAGTGTGATAGTATGATTATGTAGTTCCAGGTATAGAGATGAATACAGGGGCTACAGGAGGAGAAGTTCCAGCAGAAGCAGGGACATATATTATGGAAAGGACGAAGACAGTAGGAGTAGGAGCCCTGATTATCATAAAAGAAAAAGAAGTGAATGCCCTTATCATTGATATCTTCAAAAACAATTATTTGTCTACTATGTATTTACAATAAGTTATGTTGCATATAAGGAAACAAATCAAGGTAACTGAAGGGAGTTTATACTAAATTAACAAATTGATAATTGATCTAAAATATTTCAATTTTGCTATACAGGTGTGAAACCTACTTTTAACTGGATGCCTCGTTTGTGGTCCCCTCTTTCTGACTTTCTACTTCCTAAACACGGTTGAAATCGCATTCACAACCACAACTGCACTACCCTTTGGTACAATTGTTGTGATTGTTTTGATATAGATTTTGGTGACATCACCGTTACTGGTTCTCGGGGGTATTGCTGGAAAAAACACCAAAGCGGAATTCCAAGCTCCTGTTCACACCACAAATGAAATGAGCTGATTCCAGAAGCCCTTTGCACCATTTTGATTCCGATGTAATGACCAAAATTGAATCCGTAGTTTGGTGAAAGTGATCCATTCATTATATTCAAACTTTTACCTCTTCATAAAAGTGTAAAATTGTCATACTTGAGGAAACAGAGTTAGTAAAGAGTCAAACCGAGAATAAATTACGATTTTACCCCTATTAAAAAAACAAAATTTCTTGATATTCATCAATCTCAACGTTGGAGCAGTTGAGAGGTAAAATGAATAAGAGCAAATAAGTAAAATGTTAGTGTGTTAATGAGTTTTAGTTAGCCCATGATGAGAATGAAAAAAATAGTTTTTTTAGTTAGCCCATGATGAGAATGAAAAAAACAAAAATTCTCTAATCTATCTGCCTTTTTGTTGTAGGATGGATATAATTATATATATTGAATATGGAACGTTTTGTGTTTTGTGTTGTAAACACTTAAATATGTTATTTGTTCTGTTGTGTGTGCTGTTACAGGACACAGAAGAAGAAGATACACTTAAAGTTAAGATCCATTTTGAAGTGATGTTGTTTCGTATCTATATCATGTATTTTACTACATGTAATAACCAAAAGTCAAGGGTTATTTTAGGTATTTTCGTAGAATTATTTTTTGTACCAACAGAATCCATAAAAAAACATTACAACTTTGAATCTCAACTTTCACTTTATTTCTTGTAGCTGACAAAAACAAAGGTAAACTACATAATCTGAATCTAAATTGATTGGGATCATGTGCATTACCTTGCATGCATCATGTGAATCACAATTACGAATGGAGTGGAACTGACTCATGTGAATCTGAATGATGGAATCTATACAGGTCTTGCCTTCCCTCAACAAAAGCTTATGTCTCTTCAATACCATCCGGAAGCTTCTCCTGGACCCCACAATTCATACCTTGGTAATATTCAATGCCTTTCTTCCTTATCATTCGCAAGTTGAAACAACTTTTACAAATTAAGACCTTGCACAATAACAAGTAAAAATAATTCCATATCATTGTACTTGTATTGCTTTGTGTATTATAGCATCCTAATTTCATTTTTTCCTATCACAAGGTTGTACTTAAAATACCCTATTATAACAATGTCATTCATATACTAAGGGAAAAAACTAGAAGTACAATGGCATAATAAAAAAAATGAAAGTAGTGATCAACAATTACTGTGAAACTTCTAGTGTTTAGATTTCTTACTGGTTGTGAACATTTGTTTCTTCCCTTTCTACCCTTCACTTGCAGGTTGATGATTTGTCAAGATTGTTAAGACTATTTTCCAAAAATACCGCATGGATTGGATCCTGTCTCTAGTATGTTTAAAATGGTTTGTGATTTAGAAGCTTTCGAGGAAACAAGACTCAAGCAAAAGTAAACACACAGAGAGTTGTTGGCACATAGTAAGCTAGATAATGCAATTGTATATAAATGAGTTCATTTTTTTTATAACATTTACTCACTACTAGAATAGTTATTTGTATTTGACATATTAATGAAATGAATTATCTTTGTTATTTATGGTATTTTATTTTGTATTATGATATTTTTAATGTATTATGTAATTTGAAAATTAGTAAATCTATAAATAATATTTTTTTTAAACATTTAAAGTTATGATACGCAAAAATGTGTGTCATCTTCATTTATGACAAGGCCTTTCTTGACAGTGACTTTCTTGATACGCATTGCATGTCATTAACACGTGCGTCGTAAGGTTACGACACGTGAATGCATATCCTGTTCCTTTATGATAGGGCCGTCCTTGATACGCATTGCGTGTCGTAAACGCGCGTCGTAAATGAGCATCGTAAATGCGCGTCGTCTTTCTTTATGACAGGCCTTCCTTGACGCGCATTCGCGCGTCGTCTGAGCCTTTTACGATGCGCAATGAGCGTCGTAAAAGGCTGTTTTTCTAGTAGTGTCAAAAGCTGGCATCGGTACCTCTCTACTGATGACCTGAGAATACAAGTTATTTTGACAGAGTTTATCAGCATTAAGCTGGTGAGTTCATAAGTATTTTAGTGTCGATGTTTGTTATTAAAAACGTTTGAACCTGTCACAAGTATAAGTTGTAACATGTATGTAAGTGTTCGTAAAAGTTTGAATCTCTCAGAAAAACCTATATTTTCTATTAAAGTAGCCTTCTACCAAGGCTTAACTGTTTTGTATGCTCGTTTGATGTAAAAGTGTGTAATTTCCCAAGGGTAACTATCTTTTAACAAAATATAGTTTGTACATTAAAGTTTAAGTGAGATTATCACTAAAATGTAATGGGTAAGTCATTGTAGTACTGTAAATTTGTATTATAGGAACTACTGCTATACTAACTACGTTAAATCGGATTTATATTAAGGTGTAATGTTATCATTACACTATACTATCGACTGATAACAACGACATAGAGAATGGTCGTAATAACGGAATGACGTTTGGCACCCGCAGACCTACAGGTCCGGCTGTAGCTAGCAGCAAGGTGTAGGATTGTCAATCCAGTATAGATCTATACGCAAACTCAATGCTCTCCCTCCAAGAGAAATCTGGCTACAACTCGGGCCATGACATTTAAGGCATGCTCTGATATAGTGGATCACAATTGTTAATGTATTAATGTAAGGGTAATATTTCTTGTTCTAGTATAGTTGTATATGTAATGTTCTAGAAAGTATTGACTCATGAATGAACTGACTCATTGTATGATATCGTGTTCTAGTAACGGTTCTAGTATCTTCCTAAACTACCCATATGGTAGTTTACTAGCAGTCTAACTGGTACGTATGGTCATGGATGTATACCCTTACTAACTAAGGGCATGGGATGAACTGGAAAGACCTTTTATGACTATATATGTACACATGATATATAACTAATATTTAAACGACTTTCGGACGAATACCCAATATCCCACCAGACCACATCTCAAGGCACGAAAAAAGAAATAGGGTGGATAGCCTTCCTAAGTCTTTTAAACATTTCTTATATAACTATACATATAGAGGCATGCAATTTATAATATAAAAGCATAAATTAATTTTGTAAGACATTTGAAACATAAATATTATTTTAAGAAAAGATCGACTTGATGTCGATCTATAAAACAATTTGAAGGCATAAGTATGATAAAACAGTTTTGAGTATAAGGAAACATTTGATTGAAACAGAGTTGTGAATAAGATTGAAAGGTAATGTACCGGGTAAGATGAACAGTGTAATAAGTAGTTTAAAACATATAAAATGTTTATAAAAATCATTTGAAGGAAACTATTTGGTAAGACGGCTAATGAGTAGCCAAATCTTTTGAATGTTGTATATTAATCACATGTGATTGATGTAATAACTAGCGTAATTCTACTTATTAATCGCATGCGATTGATATAATCCTAGCATGATTCTACTTGTATTCCCCCCCATGAAACATTTAAAAGTAGTTTAAAACATTAGTTAAGGGGTATGAAGTCACTTGAAAGTTTGAAGATAGCGAGATGGAAAACCGGGCAGAGTTTCGTCTCGGGAAACAGATTTTTCTCGGGATTCTCGGGAATCTCGGGAGTAAAATCGACTCTCGGGACTTGAGTAAAAATGACCAGGGCTTCGGGTTTGAACGGGCACGGAAAACGAGGGAAAACACAAGGGAAATGTGAAGAAATGAGCAAGTTTTTCGGAAACCCTCGCTCCCTTTTATAGGGGTGCTGAACCGCCTCCGTACGCGGGGCGTACGGGCGTACGCAGTGCGTACCCGTGCATCATCGCTTACGTACTTCGGACGGGACGGGTCGGATGGGGCGGGTCGGATGAGACGGGTCTGTAGCTTCGCATAGGGCGACGTGGACGATCCAAGGCCTTTGCCTTGAGTACACGGGGCGTACGAGGGTACGCGGCGCGTACTTCGGCCCTAGGCTGACTCCTTCGGATAATACCAACTTTTTAATAAAAATTATATATAAATTAATTATCAAACTTCAAAAATTCATATCTCCTTCATACGAACTCCGTTTTCGACGTTCTTTATATCCCCGCGAAGGTAAGACTACGATCTACAACTTTCATTTAGATTCTGTTTGAAAATTCCGAAATTATTTTTATTATTTATTTATTAAAATGACGTGATTAAGGAATTTCTTTAAAAATTCATAACTTCTTTATCTAACGTCGGTTTTTGCCAGACTTTTTACCGCTGAAATACCATTGACGAGACCTTCAATTCTTGTTTAGGTCATTCCGGCCAAAAGTCGCTCGATCTCCGATTCGAGTTTTTAGGTGTCTACTGTTATATCTGTAACTTAGAAAAATCACAACTTCCTCATACGAAGTCAGATTTAGACATTCTTTTTATGTACGTTTACGGTTTGATGATATCTAAAAATTTCATTTAGATATCTAAGGCCAAAAACTATTGTATTGAAACTTCACGTTTTACGTCTATTAGTGTTGCTGGTTTTTGCCGAGAATCTTCGGTTGGTCATAACTTCTTTGTTATAACTCGGATTTTAGTGTTCTTTATATGCTTGGAAACCTTGATACGTTTCCTACTACTTTATTTAACCCAAATAAGATTTTAGGAAAGTTATATTTTGACCTAAATTTGATTGGTTTTACATTACATTGTCTCGAAATATCGGGGTGTCACATCATCCCCCCGTTAGAAGGAATTTCGTCCCAAAATTAGAATTTAAGCAAGGAAACATGCACGAATGATCGAGTCGTGAGGAGGAAACTTTCTATTCGATTGGTTCTAGTGCATCTAAGTGATAACGGGTTCTCGGTTGGCGTTCCAACGAACCTTCACTAACTGGCAATGGCGTTTCTTCGTCTGCTTGACCTCTCGGTCGAGGGTCACTACGGTTCTAATACGAAGGAGAGGATCTTGATGAGTGGACTTGCAAGAGTGCTAACAAAAAGGTATGGTTTCACGATCGAGATGTGAAGAGTAGAAAGTACGTTACTGAGTTCGCGGAGTAGGTCTAGTTTGTGTGAGGCATAGAACCGATTCTGGTAAGAATCTCGGAGGTCCTGTCTATCTTGGATTTAGCTTTCCACGCTTTACGAAGCGTATTAAGCCATTCCCAGAGTGAGTTATCCTAAAGAACATGGTCACTCACTTGGAATCTCAAAGGTTCCTTTTCTTGCGTAACTTCCCAGTCAAAGGCCACCCCTTGTTGCGTCAAAGTCGTACGAGTTTATGTAGCTTGCGAGGAGTTCGGAACGAACTAAGGTGGTAGGTCGGTATGACCTAGAATCTAGCAAAAAAACTGTCGGCATCTCTGGTGTCGATAAATGCTCAACGGCTTTGACAATTTGAAAGAGTACTCATAATTTCTCACATTACTAACAGTGTGTCTTAGAAATTTGACTCTTCAATTTCAAAACTCGTGTCAGAGAACTTTGCTAAAAGTTCCTCTGTAGGAATGTTACCATGGGCTTTCTTCTTACTACGAGGGTAGATAAGTAAGTCATTACATGGAGAAACGATGACTGATCCCAGTAAGAAAGACGTAACTCTATTTATTTAGCTCATGAAAACTATGGGCATATTGGTCCTATCCGAAAGGTATCACTACGAACTCGAAGTGTCCGCATCGAGTTCAGGAGATAATCTTTCGGACATCCTCCCCTAACACTCGAACTGGTGATATTCGGATTCCAGATCCATTCCTGGAAGTAGTTTCTTTCCTTGCGTTTGCTCAACCATTTTGTCTATGCGAGGCAGAGATAACGATTTCTATGAAAATCATGATGGAGTCCTCGATATCCAAGGCACATACGTTGCAATCCGTCGATCTCCGCGAGAATATGATCGGGGTTCTCTAGGGTGAGAAGCCTAGTCTACTAATTCTCTTTCTGTGTAGTTCGTCAAGTGGTTTGTACTGTTCTGGTATCTCCGAGGGTGTTTAAACTATAGGGCGATCTGTTTTCGGGAGTTATACTGGTTTCTAAGTTCGTTCACATGATGATGTGATTACTCGTATACTTAGGTAGTTCTCCGTCATGAAGTCCATTTTAGAATTTATACAGGGCTTCACGATCACAATCTCATGTATACGAGGCGTATATAATTAAGATTGAAAAGGTAGTCGAATAACTGATTCTTCCTTACCCTCACATCCCATCCGGGAAAAGAAGTTAAAGTGGAATCATCAACTCTAAACCTGTAGAACCTTGATTATATATCACTGTTATGCATACATTTCTCAGTGATAGATCAATCGTATAAATCCTTGGATTGAACTTGATGTACTGCACAAGTGGTACTTCGGGGATTTCTTCGGAA